GATGCTTCTTTTGTTCTCCACAAAGGAAAACTCAGTATGAAAACATTAACCTTTTTTGTTCCGACCAGAAAAGGCTGTTACGTGACTTTCGTACGCCTATGGCTATTTAACAAGCGTTTTGGTCTATATTTGAACGGATTTCACAAAACATGCCACCTCGTAATAGACGTCTTCTACGAGAAAGACCACGCAAGCGCGAGGTCTCCAGAACTTTGCTCAGGAAAGCTAATATTGTCGTACCAATTCTTGATAGTCGTACGTGCGGGTTTTTGTAAAAGTTTGCTTCGCAAATTCACCTATTTCAACTTAATTTAGTTTGTCCAGGCAGAGTTGGGTTTGCATACATTTATGAAATAGGTAACCAATTAATCAGCGTTACGAATGTTAGCAACTCAGCAAGGGGAGTAAGATACAGTCGACGTAGTATTCTAGACTACCGAGCCTCTAACTGAAAAAATTAGCCGGGCTCGCCCAACGATGTATGGGCTCCACGCAAATGTTACCTTTCATATACCTAGTAAAATAGCCATTTTGAAACACACATTTTCCCTCCCTAACACCTCCATGCCGAAGAAAGGCTCTAGTACCACGGTGTTTAATAATACCACGATGTATGCAAGGATCACTTTTTCAATTATGAGCATCAAAAGTAAAACCTGGCGTACGCACAAGCTTTGGGGAAGGCCAAAATGCTGGTTCATATGGTTTTCAAGTTCAGAGAAAGGAATACCAGAGTCTGAAAACACGTGTTTCTTTTTTTTTTTATAAACTGGTACCATTTAAAAACACAACAAACGAAAAGTTAGTTTTGGATCACATATATATTGCATAGTACGTACTACGCTCGGCATAAATCTTGAATTGTTGCATGTAACGAGTACCGCTCTTAAAGTTGATGGTTCTTCGCTGCATTATCCAACTTCATATCACCCCGTGTCTGTGTGTATGTATGTTCCCCTCTCAATTGGTTAGGCAGTCGAAAGAGGACCCAACGCTCGGAAAATGCCCACTGGCCCATTATTGTTAATCAGTGAAAAATAATTATTAAAAGTGTTTGATTATTGAAGTTGGATGCAGTGAAGCCTTTTTAGGGATGCGCAGTTTCGAATCGGATTTTGTGTCTGGAGAAAATAGAAAATATACACTTTACTTCCACCTCCGAAAACTGAAGTAGAGCTTCTATTGCGGCTACGAAATACGCTACGTCGTTAGCTGGTTTCAAAAAGATTCGCGGTAAACCTGCGTCTCGAATGGTGTTGGACGTGAATACTGACAGGATCTTCTTTCCGATCGTCGATTGCAACGCGTGCGAAACGGGCATGGAGAAGATAGAAATACGCAACTAGAAGAGAAAGCAATACATATACGAAACTATCCAGGGCCAATTCCAATATGTCGGGTCCGTTTAATGACAGTGCTATGAAGTAAAATTCCTTCAATATTATAGAGAACGATACCTAAATCTGTAGCGAAAGTTTTGTCTAATACTTGAATTCGTCCTGTAATTTAAAGCCGATAAACAGTTATATTGAGTCCTATTACCTTAAACTTAGCTTATGGCTTTTAGATGAGAGCTTTATTTAAATATCTATTGTCGCGTTTCCATTATAAACTTTTACAATCGTACCTTCGAACCAAATTGTACGAATCTATACACGCGCTACGCGTGTAGCGTACGCGTACGACCTTGGCGCACTGATATAATGTTTCCTGAACTTCGAGCGAAGGCTCTCATGGGCCTTCAACCCTTTAGCGTTTCGTTAATTGTAATGTATTTATTTGAAACCATTAAACTCCACAGCAATAAGTATTTCAAGAGCCGGACATCACACGATGTACTAAAATCTGGTCCACAATGTAGACGAGCTAAGCTGATCATACTAGGGACCTTTTGATAGTAGTACCAGAAAGTTTGAAAATTCTAACAAAAATACATGGATGTCAATAAATCGCATGTCAAAGCTGTATAGCTTCCTTGCATAACAATCACCACAGATTTGTATAGGTGAAATGAACGATTGGAGCCATGTAGAATAACAGCACATACGTACTTAAGGCCAAATAACAAATTTAAGCCATTTCCTCTCTAAGACCATAGCTTCTGGAAAAGGAACTTTCATAAATTACCAATTTTTTGCTTCTCCCACAAAGTTTTGCTCGTTTTACGTAGTCGAACCCCTTAATTGTACAAATCGAGACGCATACAGTATTGATAATAACCAAAAAAAGGGATTAACTGATTTTTAGCAAATGTTTAGTAATACGGGTCAGTTCTAACACTGCCTGCCAGGTGCGGCTGCAGAGCAACCCTGTTCTGGAGGATGATCAGCTTTCAATATTAAATCAAACCTACTTCTGCTAAAATGGGCAATTATGTTTCTTTTTTGTCTTAAGTATCTCTAATAACCGACATCAAAACGGTTACGTCGGTTGCAATCTTAATATGGGACTCGCCGTGACAAGACGCACTGTAATCCTTTCAGGCGTAGTTTCATAGTGTTAAAGCAAAGGTCAGCTTGATCATCTAAATCGAATTCTATTTTTGTACAAAATTGAAGAAAAAAAAAGATAGATTGTGATTATTTTTGGCAGCTAAACCGGCGCGCTAAAAATACCACGAAGAAACATATACTAAAGAGAGATAGTTTTCGTGTCTGACAATGGAGAAAAGCGTTCTCGATGGCATACAGTATTTACAGACAGAGGACCTCCATTTAAAGTGTTATTACTATTGACGTCGGATGTACGTAACGTGTTTCGAATTAATACATACGTACATAAAGAATACGTGAAAAAGTCTATATTTGAAACCGACCGTATCCACGATTTGTCTTGTGCTGGGAGTTAGCAGTCTACAGCAATTTTTAAGTTAGGCCGTACTGGGCGTAAAATTCCTAACACTTTTACCACACAGAAGCAGGCCCATGGACTTGAATGGCCCAAGTGACGAAAAGAAAAATAAATACTGTCGTCAGAAGCACCTAGCTAGACATCGCCTGATAAGCCGATAATCTAGTGAACCAGGCAGGGGCTCTGTAGAGGTCACGGTGAGATAAAAATATGAAGCGTTAATGAAACTTTTTGAACCTGTGTCTTCCCACTAACAGCCTATCCATCTAAATCGGCTCTTAATGATAGGGTTCTCTTTATGTGAGAGACACTTTACTGCGGAAATCATAGACAATTAGTCATGTTACAGCGACACGTGTACTGATATTCCTGTGGACGCAAATCTTTTTTCTGCGTGTATGCTTCAACTATCACATTAGCACCGAGGCGTGACTAGTAATATTGGTATAGAAGCCCATTCATTCAGGTCACGGACCTTCGATAGATTTTATTAATCGAATATTATGGCTAGACGAAAGATCTGTTCTGCGCAGGAACAAATTATTAGGCACTCTAAAAATATACACTTTTTACCTAAGTAGTGAATCTTGTACTTCAAACACAAGGTAAACGTCGTGTTACTGAAAAGGGGCGATATGATGTGATAAGATGCTGTTATTTGTATTGTGCGATACATTCGTTCAAAAAACTAGAAAATTGCGTCTCCTTGTAGTACTACGATCGTAAGCACACAATCTATTGCTGTAACGGGGAAATTAAACATGATCATAGTTATTCAGATGATTTTCCTCAAACGGGCACCTATATTTCTGCGGTTCCTATCTTCCATATGATTTCCGCCTTACGTACATATCGTCTTCTATTGTAACACAAGACTGCCGTTAGCAACACGAACGGTCTCTTCCTTGCAACTCTGGATATATTGTGTCACAACATCTGTCACACGCTCTGATCCCAAACGGCATCTATAAACTGCTGCGAGTGATATTTCTGCTGAATGCACCGTTCCAAATAGTCAAAACCAATTACTCTGGATTTTAGCACCTGTGTCTGCCAGATGCCCACCCGTGACTTCTGTTTCGCTAAGTTTATGCGAATGCTTTTAAATTGACCTCCCTAGGACTAGTAATAGCCGGTCGCCGATAGGATACTGTAAAAATGTTGATGTTAACCAACTGCATGTACGGTCACTACGTGATCGCTTGTACTAACCTAAACGAAAGGCGTTTGATGTATCAGAATATATGTCAGATGTACATACGAAGTACGCCATTTGTAGGCTGGTTTTGCGCAATTTATGCGAGCCACAATGCTTTCAGATGCGTTTCAGTTCCACGGCCCGTCAACGAAAGTCTTTCTCGCTCGAACATCTACTTTATTCTTCGGCATAGGATGATATTGATTATGTATTGTCGCCACGTAACAGAGACGATCGTGTTTACGATAGTTACAAAGGGTTTCTTCTTTAATAATACCCTATTATATTTGTCGGGCTGCCCACGCTTAATATAGCTGACTTGAATGAAGCACGATAACTGACACCCTGAGAGCTCCGTCAAAGTTGATTTCAGTTCTATAATGGAAAGCTTTACTTAACCCAGATACAACGATTCGTTACCGTATTAAACGGAATGGTGCACATTATATAAAGTATATATATGCAATATTTTTCTTTTTAAAGCGGAGTTAATTCGAGCCATAAACTTCGAGGCCTTCGAAAACAATCTTATGGATCTTTTGTCGGTCAGTCAGTTCTACGTAAAGTAAAAACTCTACATGAGCAAATTAAGTTTATCGGTTTCAGAATTCATGCCCGTTGGGCGTTCGTGTAGCTAATAGTTATTGAAGCTCTCCTAATTCAATGAAGATGACTACCCCAAACGTCATGAATAGGCTATGAAACCGCTATCGGACAATATCATGCATACATGCGTTATATGAGGTTCTGATGTAAAAATGAAAGGTCACCGTTCCTCTTGAATGCTTTTTTGCGAGTCATGTTCCATTTCTATATAGATAGATACGTATTTAAAAATGCGCGCGCCGAAAATATTCGAAGATTAAGCAAATTTAACACCAAGTTTGATTGTCGTTACTTCGAAGAGGTAAACACATGTTAGTTGAAGTAGTATCCTTCATTACCGGCAATTTTCGTTTCTGTTTCTGCTAGCTTATGTATCTTGTCAAGTCAAAAAAAAACTCAGTGCTGGGAAGCAATCCATTCACTCACCGACTTCGGCCTCTATTCTGAAATATTGATCTTCCTAGCTATGCCACATTGACCAAAACAGCAAGTGATAATCAAGTGAGCGATGCTGGGGATTGTACGCGAGGTGAGAAAAGGTGCCCAGTAAAGGTCTGTTGACGCTGGATGATTCATCGAAGCAGTATGCGGTATAGCGTTATTATACAAACATATAACTGCCTTACCCTTTACCAGTCTAAAACCTCTTAATTAGTTATGTCAATCTCGCAGCTTACACTAATAAGTTGACTTGCATAACAGCTTCCTCTAGTCCATCGCAGATGTTCGACAAGTTTTACGTTATATTACTTCTTTCTCACCCAACTGGGTGCAGAAGTGCAGCTTTTAACCATTGATATTTTTCCGTCGTATCAAAGTAAAAGAACCTAGCAATTCTGGCGTGCGTTCAAGGGTGTTGTAAAAGATAATTTTTTCGTCTTCGGTAGTTTTCGTCTTGTGTGGAGATGGCTTGCTTTTCTGTTGTGCAAGCACCGAAAACCATATTGCCAGGCGGTTTCTTATCTTTACTGGGTTTATGGAAAAACACTTTTTACTTCATGCAAACGAATGGCAACAGTCGTCCAGGTCACTCTTCTCGTGTCAACCGCGCCGTTCTGCTTAAGGGGTGCCTCCAGTTCGCTGCCGCTTGCTGTTCCTAAAAAGCCGTCTAAAATATGGTACGTCGTTCAAGTCAAAAGCCCTAGCTCTGAAACGACTAAACCAAAACTGGCAAATGGTAATACGTTTGTCGTCGACTTTGCAAACAATTATTTCTGTCTTCCTGTCAGCGCTTTTTTTTTCGCATGAAAACAGTGAAGGAGACAAAATGTCAGATACGCATCTTTTCCAGTTCCATGACTATACGCACGAAATCACCACTCCTAACGATAATCGCTCAACGAAAGCAAGAGGATACACGTCCCTCAGGAAAAACAGAAATCATTCTGGGACCCTAAGAAGTTTCAGCTAGACATGATCAATCGACCCGAGGCCTAGCGCCGTTCGTCGGCTCCAACGGCCGCAAACATTTACTCAACCTAATAAATAGATATTTTTGGACTTCACCAGGTTCGTACACCTCTAGGTTACGTTGTCAAGTTTGAATGAAGGACGCTGGTCTGATCTCGATCCGTTCTATTGTGGCGCAGTGTTCAAGATAACAGCAGCCGTTACAAAGATTGGTTTAGGAATCGAGGACTCCAGAATATTATAAGGGCATTAGGGAGCTGCGAGAGAAGGCGCACGTGCGGCGGAGAACGGTGCACAGTGTTCGAAGCGCCATTGTGACAACGGGACGATAACTACCAGGACGAGCTTCACGCGCACCCCTGATATTGTGTTTGATGGCGTATGGCATTTGGTACTAACTGTCGCGCAGTTTGACAGTAAGCATATGTATATATATGCATATGTTGAGTGTGTTTGATAATTTCAAATAAGTCGCACCACTAGCGGATGATATTTAATACATATTTACATCGGTTCTTTGGCTATCCGCGACTACTGATTGATTGTGTACCATCAGATAATAGGCATCAGGCAACGATATCGTTAAGAACTAAAAACAAACGCTCAACGACTACATTTCTCTTTCTCGAAGGCAAGAATCCTAATAGAATCCATCGAGAATTGCTTAAATACTGGCGCAGGAAACCTTCCGCGAGACCACAAGGTGTTACTAATGCTATTACTTTAGCTTCTCAAACGAGTTGCTGTGATTACAAAAGCTTCTCGTCCACGGCGATAATATAGATACCTGTTGTTGAGCAAATTATTTTAAGAATACTGTAGACGGGTTCTCGTTTTGTCCTAGACCCAGTTCACGAAAACGCGATTTTTTTTATAGTTTTATTATGGTACTTCTAGGTGTTCTATATTGAGCCAATAAGGGGAAAACGATTGATGCTCTGTTTTGTTGAAAAGTTTCCGCGATCACAACAACTTGCTATCCCGTTTGAGGTCCCCTGTGGTCACTTGCTTTTTGTGGTCTTCAACCTGCCAGTGTTCGGTCTCTCGGTGCCCAACGCCCCCTTTTTCGCAGTATTCTTACTACTATTCGATCAATCCTATTAGGGCTCACACCCTCGAAAAAAATGGCGCGTTTATTTTCAGCACTAAACAATATACGTTCCGATTCATTACTTTCCCATGGAAGTCGATCCTGCAATTCCGGAATTTGTCCTGATTGGCTCTAAATTGATTTATTGGAAGCCAAAGATAACATGATTGGCAAATAAGAGGAATAAAGATATAAGCTCTATCCTTATTTAGTGTGTCTACTGTGCTTTGGTTTGAATTATTGCCATAAACCAGCTCACTAAAAATGGTCAGCATAAACGGTTTACGCTAGCCCTTGAAAAATTAGCTGATTTTCTACTCGATTGAGAGATGTGCCGATTTTTTTGTTGTCGTGCTGTCGCAATAGCATTACTTTATAATAATAAAATAAATAAGAATAAGCTTAAAGTATCAGCTTTTAAGTGAGGACCTTACAAGATTTCTGTGGCAGGCCAGGTAGAGATTTACAAACTACTTGTAATATACAAGTTGGCGTCAAAGACGGTTCTTTGAACTTGCGGTCGATATCGCGCCAATCAATTTCGTTAAAAATATATAACCGTTTATAACTTGTAGACGATTATTAGCTCAATTTAAGAAACTTGCAATTCTCGTAATTTACTTTAACTCACTATCGTTAGGTTTCTGAAGACGTCCATAGGCTGTTGATTGGGTTGTTGACCAACGCCACTCCAAGGGATACTTTCATTTCGCGGCTAATAAGATGTTGTTTCCACGTCTCATGTGGCCATTCTAATGCATCGCGACCTCAGTTTCTAGGGACTTGTTTGACGTCTCGCTAATAAAACTGAGGTAGGAGTGGTCGCTGTGGGCCACATAGCTGAACAGGATTCCTCTCGGGAACTGGAGCATTCGTCCTGAATTCCCAACACCCAACTGGTGTTTTGCTTGGCCTTGACGGTATATATATATATATATATATCATATATACATATGATATCGTAAAGGATTGAGGAATTATAAACCGTTGCTAAGAAAACTGCCAATAGTTAATTGCCTCCGGTAGCCATAAAAGCGTTTTATATTTTTAGCGTAAATAGATATTTTCAAGCATGCAAAATGTTTTCTTCTTCCAGTATGTTAAGTATGTAGGCCAAAAATGGAAAAATCGTTAGAGCTTCTTTGGGGACAGTAGACACGTGTATACGTACGAACTGTTACTGGCTCAAAAACGCAAGATAAAATAACTGCGGATGTACCTGGGAACGTGAGCCTACATAGCCTGCTAGTATGTAGATAAATACAATAATAATACTACAAGTTAAATTCATTCACAGAGTTGACACATATCTAATAAGAAGGCACGTTTAATGAACTTCAAATCGCACTTACTCACTCAAATGGGTTTAGCATTCGACCCGACTGAAAAACTGCGTCAAGCCGGCGACAATTGACGCGTTGTCTTGTGTATGTCGGCGACGCGCAAACGAAATCTGGATCGGCAGTCCGAGCTACTCGATTAATAGAAACGTCAAATAGGATAATGCTTATCAAGTATAAATAAACTAAATTATCTATGTATTGTCTAAAATATCTATGTATGTAAAATGTACGCATTGTCAAAAGCACACCCGCATTACAAACCTCAAGCCCTAATCTGACCTACTTCAGGTGCCCGATGCCCATGCTCAGCGTCTCGTCGGTATCCACTGAAGCAACAGTTGCCGTGATCCGATTCTGTTATCTCGACAAACTGCACATGAAATAAGGTATCTGCAAAACACAGCGGCTTAACTTGCGCGTGTATATGTACTACATATATATATGAACATGAATACCTTTCAAAATTCGAATAAATTAGAACAGTACGTTAACTTTAGATGAAGTTCTAAAATTCAGACAACTTAATACGATCCCCGTTGCAGTGGCAAACTTCTTTTTCTCGTTCTCCTTTCTACTCCGCCAATAAAAACTGTGGTTGTTTCTGCGCGCACGAAACATATAACACGGTTCCCATACATTTTGACAAATTGCACCAGAGTGATCATTCCGTTTTAAATATACCCGCATGTGTACGTACATGATTTGGTTCTTACCATGGCTCTTAATGCAAGTTCGTACTTAGTTTTTGTAGCCCTATTATCTAAAATTGATTTGTACCTTAGCACAGGCAGTATTGACCTACTTTAACGCTAAACCGTCGTTAGCGGTAGATTTGACGATTTGTCATTTTTTTAGTTGACAAATATAAAGGTTGTTACATTTTAACTTTAATTCTAATTGTAACAACGTCATTTGGTCGGGTATGATTGGAAGAGCAACGACGTTATATAATACTACTAAATGTAGGGAAAAATCCGTCAGCCTTTACCTTCTCACAAAATAGTCCAGGGAACTTCAAGTTTTAAGTCTAATTCCTATTCAGTGCTTCCGATCTTCCTTACAGCCACAGTCTAACGGGCATTGCGACAGTCGCAATATTTGCTTTACACAATACATTTGGCAAAATATACACCATGGCATATACACTATAGCTGAGAGGTACTGCCAAGTGGGTCTGCATTCATATTATAGCTTATGTCGTATGTATGACTATGATTGTTACACATTAGGCGTAACTTATGATGGACATCGAAATTTGCTAGCGAACTTCAAAGTATATGCATGGTTTTACTTACGTAGTTGCTACCGCACGAAATTGCAAGCAACTGGTCTATCACCATACCTTCCTTTTTAAATATAAAAAAGCTGACCGCTTAAATGTTCCGAGATTGCGCACACCCTTAGCGGAATGATAAGATCGTCAGCTATTGTGCTCTACCGTCGTCAGGCGTATTCTAATGCACATCTTTAGATATTGTTACAATATTATCACAGTAAAATCATTTATTCTGTAGTACTGCGAGTATCCAAAGAGGTCGATGAGGACAGATTGCGAAAATAACTAATGAACAGATCAGTCCATACAAAATGATGTCAAAGGCTGGCTTTTCCTCCTCTATATTTCATCACCTTGCCTTATATACTCAGTAGAATACCATATGCGCAGACGGTCAGTCTCATCAAAGCCGATGTTTCATAGTTCAGTATCCTATTAATAGCGATGTCAGCATAATGACAATGTTAAAAATCTTCAAAAAAAACTGAGTAAAACCACACCGTAAATTTAACTAAAACCTATTCGACTGGCGCCAGCTTTCCTAATAGTAAATAACACAAAAACCTGGAAATATGCTCCATTAGTAACGTAAGGAAAACGATTCGCAACTCAGTGTTCGACATCACCAGCGCTCCCGCCTTGAGACAAAATGGCCTGAAGGGCCAATAGGCCAAGAGGATCTTTTCATCACTAGCAAAAATTGTGGTATATTTATGTGTCATTAATGCAAGCCAGTCAACGTCGGCGGAGGTTCGAAATGTCCCTAAGAGAAGTTTATCGGAGCTCTGCCTAACTCATAGATAACTTAGACTTGTTTTGCGTAAACAATCAACGTAATTTCAATTGGACCACTGAAACCCTAGCTGGAAAAGTATATGTATCTACCGGGTTGTTACTTATCTTCATGTCGAAAATAGACTTGGCCTGACAAAAGTGAAGTAAGGTTGTGAATCGATTTTTTCAGCATATCCTGTTTGATTTCCGCGGCTATGTGAGGCACCCTTTCACATTTGCTATGCACACAATCTTCGTGCTGAGTAAAACAACACCTTAACTGTGTGTTAATTAGAAACTACTCCAGGTTGTTGATCAGGTCACAACTCCCATTGTACGGAAAACATTGTACGGATCATTGGAGCGGTTATATCAAAGTGTTTATACCTAGATACGAAATGTATAACCTGCATTCCCAATGACGAAGTTTAGCCCGGTTCACGTTTCATACGACCCCATTTTTATTGACAACGATGGTAAAGCTTTTGAAGTGCTGATGATGGATATTTGCTTAGACGGCTGAACGAAGCGGCGTAATATAGCGCCCTCTAGCGATTGTTATCCTCAAATGAAATCATGTGTCCACCAATACACGTTTGTACAAAGCCAGCGATTACGTCGATAGTAGAAGTTCGGGGCACCTTTTTCTCTTATAGATGCATTACTATGGTTGTGTACGTTGTACATCGACGCCTCGAAGCTTAAGTATAAAAAAGAAGATGTACTTTTCTTGTTTTAGGCCTGCTGGCGTGGCTGAATAACCAGCTCAAGTTCTAAAGCTAGCACATATGCGAGCCATGTAAAGCACGTTAGAAGTAACATAAATATATGTTTTATAAGCAGAGTATTGTGCACATTTTGGTGGTAAGACATTTATGCATGACAGAGACTTCCAATAGTCATATTCCTACTATTAACTGCTGCTTAAAATGATTGGTCATTTTCTCCTCACCGAACAAATGCCGCACGTTTCATGACGAAACCTGATGGCTGGCTCTACGCATAGTGTTGCAGTTGTTGTACGTCGCGATTGTGTTGGATGCACCAGCTGGTTATCATTTGGATAAGGACCTGTGAAAATGATGATATGTAGACCACCAGTAAGAAAATTAAAAGAAAGGACAACGCAAGGAAATAAGGTTCTAAACAATTTGGTCCGACCGATAGAGGAAATTTCTCACAACGACGAAATCTGTCAACTTGAAACGGCTTAACTGAGTATTTTTATTATAAATACATGTTGTCCCGAATCGCACCGACGTTTGACATAGATATAAAGAGCAACATTTTCGACATCTTAATAGCAAGCACGGATTCTAGGCCAATTGGCGCGTCTTTCACTCATTCTTGATTTCAACATTTAACGCTTTCGCCATTAATCAATGTTTCACCTTGGATAAAGTAACGCTAATTTCAAAAATGACAATAGCACACTAGAATTTTTTTTTAAAAAAAACACATACACACAGCAATAGACGGGGCCAACTAAGCTGCTTAAAAAGTACGACTCAGAGTATCGTGGCTGGCTGGAACAGAAGTTATAAAAAGCTTGTTGCGATTTTCATCCCAATAGAAAAGAGTGCTACTTGAACGACAAGCAAATCGATATAAAAAGCGACAAACTGAATCAGCGCTCCTACTTTTTTTCTCTAAGGACGCTAAGAGGGGCATGAACGAAACACTACAACTCATTTAGTGACAATGACGATGCATCAAGGCAGGATCTCTAGACCAGGACAAAATTACAAAGAATAACAGCATTTTCTAATCTGCATTAGCCCAGCCGATCGCCAGCCTCTTGGGTTATGGGAAATCGATCTGGACCTGAGTGAGACAAGTCTTAGCTTTTCACGGTTGCAACCCACTTTCAATGGACTCTGCTCAACCATATGGACCGTTACTATCACTAATTCACCACGGCTTTAGATTTCGGGTAGATCCACAGCGGTTTCCACCGTTGGGGCCCAACCATATCGGTTCGATATCGCCAGCCAGCATTCGCTCCACAGACCCTCGCCAAGACGATCTCACAGAATCAGATTTACAACAGGCACAAATACTTCAATATGGCTCAATCAGAGATGTGATTAGCGACATCAGAATCGAACGAGCCTATCGAATGGCGATAGAGAAGGCCCTTAGGCATAATCTACGAAGCTATAGTCCCGAAATACCTGAATGCGCCGTATGCCTTTTGAACTGTGCCCGTTGTCGTTGGTAACTAAGTAACGAGAATGCTAAATGGTGGTCGATGGGGCAAAAATACATATAAAAAATAGCACACGAACGACTCGCAAGCTCATAGCACAAAATTTTGTTTCATGTGTTTTGAGAACGTAATGCTGGTTGGTTACGTATCAACATATCACACTTTAAATTAACTCATGATCCACCTCTAATCCTAGGTGCTCAACAGCAAAATTTGAGTTTATAATAAAATTAAGGTCGAAGTAATAACTTCTTATAGACTTATAGTCTTATAGACTAATCAGTAAAGCTTGTCAGATGGTCTGCACGCAGTCCTTATCACTATCTCATCACAACTACTGCCCCCTGAAATATGCTCAGTCGATTGCAAAACGAATCACAATATGGCGATCAGCTGAGCTCCGTCATGCCATTACCTCTCATCGCTTCTATGCTAAAACGCACACCATCCACTTTAGCAAAGCTCAATTTTGCTCCCGTTTCTTTTCCGGTACTCCAGAGGTGATGTCGGCTTTGGAGATTCTAGCGCCTAGTATTCGCTTAGATCTTCCGCGGGCAGCGACGCATGAAAAATCTCGTATTTTTCGATCACTTGAGATGATGTGTTTCTAACACCGTATCACTCGAACTAGTCAGGTAATCTATATTGTTTTTTTTTTTTCGGTATCATTAAGTGGGTATCAGTCATCGACAATTTATACAACGGCACAACATATGTATGCATGTTGAGTTGATATACATACGGGTGACCGTCATAATAGAAGGCACTTGCTAACGGCAAGAGTACAGGTCAAGGACGAAGGTCAATTAAAAGCCACACCGCAGTTGATTGGAACAAACTATCTGGCTCCATTCTTTTCATCTCTGGTAAGCAAAAGTAAAAAGCAAGTTTCTTCTGCGATCGATAGTTGCGTCTTTTTTGCTGAAAAATGTAGTGGATAATGGTTTCGGTTGCTGAACGCATATACTATCATTAAATCTAACGTAAAAATCTTAATATTGTCTGCACGCCTCTGCGTTAAAGAAGGGGACTCACTGGTTTTTATCTGTAAAGCGATGAAGCGTTTATCAGTTGAGTTGGCTTTAGGCATGCAGATTACACCTTGCTAATTTTACAATTTACCGGCAGGCGCCAAACGAATGGCTGGTCCCAGTTGGCTCAAAAAAACACCGAAAATAACGAAATAGCTTGACGTATGTTACAGAAACATTTGCTAGCAAAAAGCTAAAAGAGCATTAATAAAACCTAATAATAGAGCTGACAAAATAATAAAAATTCGATAGGTATGTTTTGAGCATCAAAGACTGCATCAAGGAAAGTAGTCTGGCAGGGCCACACTCATACCTCATACACAATCTAGCACTGTCAACCGATGACGCTTGACGCAATAGATGACGCTTCCTGCCTTTAGCCGACGGCAGGCCACATAAAGTTGAAGGGTGTTTTCAATGTCAACAAATCCTGCCGTTTACCCAATCAACATTTATCAGACACTGAAGTGACTCTTACACATACACGCTTACACCTCGTTTGCGCCTTCAGCACCACGATTCGTCCCTTTTCCGCCTTTTCTACAATTAGCTATATATCAATCATGTTTATATAGAACTAGAGAGCATGGCTAATTCAGCCTTTCTCACGCAAGTGCCTGAATGACGATAACTTAAACTAAAGGTTTTTGGTGTTTTCATACAATTCGACAAGTTCGCTTTGGTTGCCTCAGTATGCCACAATTTAACCCCTTATGTAGCGCTCGCGCTGGTTGACGTTGACTGTAAGAACTGCGAAGCTGAAGTTTCTTGACAGAGTTCAAATCTCAGTCGGTTGCATCGCGGCTGCGTACGTAAACAAATAGTTCATCGTCGGTTCACTGCTTTACATAATAGAGTGTCATTAGTACCCCCTTCGGGTCCTTGCCCCTCGAGCAAAGGGTAAACAAGCAGAAGGCTGAGCCTGACTCCCCCATATTGAGAAAACTCAAGCCATGCTCAACGTTGTGGCAGTAAGTAGATCATATTGGCCTTGAGAGGCAACAGTCGTTACATCGTGATGGAGTGCTATCGATGTTGACGATGCAGAAACTATCGCAATTGATTTTTCATTCAAGTCTGTAGATAACCGGATAGCAAGGCCGGGCATGCTAATGAATTATGCCTTGTGACTGTGCCACTGACATGCGCACACGTACGAGATCATGGAGTATCGGCGAAACAGATAAAAAAATTTACTGACGTGCGGAAGTGTTCATCTATATACGTGCTCTGATGCTTTTAAGAGATTTTTTTAAGTGCAATAAATCTCACCGTCGGAGAAATGTCTAACAGCAGAGCCGTCTCAGCATCGTTCAGTTAGGCGAACTCAGGCAAGAAATACATGCCCCAGTGAAAATACAGTGGCAATGTGCTTAGCTATTACAACATAAAGCTAAGAAAAGAAACATATTGATGTGCAAAACAGAGAGAGAGAGAGAGAGAGAGAGAGGGGGGGGGAGAGACGACATTTTCGTCGTCTTTTTGAATTTTTTGTGAAAGTGGAACGCCACCAAGTTGACACCGTAAGAAGGACGCAGATGTTGAGAATTTACAATAAATGTACGCCACGTGATGCACGTGTTGATATACGACGATGCGTGCTTAGTTCACGCGTGGGTTGCGCCATTTGGGGACCCTACTGCAGAGCTGAATTTATTCATTAGTACATCAGGCAGGCTTGTATACGCATGCAAAAAGGAAAGCCGACCCGCCACCGGAACACGGGAGTGCTCGACCCATTATCCGTTGTACCAGATGTACTTAAAAGAAAGGAAATAATGGAGATATTAGTAGACTCTTTTACTATCTGTGGCTTATGCGTTGTAGTAATAAGCCTTTTTTTTTATTTTATAAAAATAGACACAACAATATGGCATGGATGTCAATCAATATTTCAGAATCCTCGGTCGACAATCGACCAAAAAAATAGAAAAAACGATCGACGTTAATAAATTAAATGATATTCTATATTTCTATAAATGCTCAATTGATTTTATGTACAATTAAATTTGTTGCACTAAAAACTAAATAATAACTATTGGTGGATAGAAAGAAACGTTCAGTCTGTTGATTAGTTCAGAGAAAGGGTGGCACCGTTCAGGATGTCGGCACGGCGAATCCGATGTCTGACTGAGTCTAAAAGTACTAAGGATTAGGAACCGCTGGAGCGGGCCCTGTGACTTCGATACGTCTCATAAAAATGAAGAGCGAATCCGTAGCCTGATAGTTGTAGTAAGTTTTTTTTTGCATTTAATAGCCACTGCTGAGTGTTTGATTTGTGTAAGTGGATATAACTTATTTTACAAGCTGTACTCTCAATATATATATATATTGAAGTAGAATTTACAATGGTCGCCTGTTTTGTTGATTTGCTATACCTCGCAGCTTTAGATGAATCAATCTTTGCATCGTGATACTGGCCTGTATGGCGTGTGGTATGTTCCTAACAGTATAACTCGGTTCGCGAGTCATTTTACGTCATTATCGTATCAACTAGAACAAGAAGAAAGCGATTCCTCGCTTTGATAGGAGTAACGAAAGTTCTGTTTCGTAATAGATTCCCCGTCCTGCCATCTAAATAGGAACACACACACTTGAGAGCTTTCTTTGCTTCTCACAAGATCATGATTTTTTTGCAATGGCTTATAAAAGAAATAGTCCGATGATTACTAGCGGCTGATTTCACCAAAGAAACACCATGTTGTTGAATAATTTACCCTCCAAACGGCATGCTGTCCTCTTTCCCTTTTGCTTAATCTAATTCTAATCCCGCCTACTTGCTATTAGTTAAAACCATGTATGTTTACATGTGGCTAACATGGGCATACGTTTTTTCAAGACTGAGTTTCCTGCTCATATCAGCGAGGCGTCATCTTCCCTAGCATATTATTAGTGTAACTATTAGTAACGGCTAGAGGTCACGTACATGCAAATGCTTTTTGCACCCCGTTTGCCATTGTAATTTAACTGTTAACTGCTACTTCCTTGTTTTTAAAAGTATTGAAATATTCATGTTCAGCTACCTTCCCACATTAAGCTTTACCTTCCTGGACCAAATAGCCTGTACAAGACAGACCGGAGACGTTTTCCAATGAAAATAAGTGTGCCTCGACGATAGAAAAACGTTGTTCCAGCAGAGAATAAGAGTCAATCAGGCCATGGTACTTCTCAAAGGAACCGAAACTTACTTCGAGTAGTGGGCAACTTGGCGTTGCTGCATACTGAGATCGTACGCATTCGAGTTAGTTTTAATAAGTAAGACCGAGGCATATATTGAGTTAAGCTTCGCTAGGTGTGCCTGTCGATGGGCGGGCTTGATCTGGGTTTTTTGTCTAGCTCGGTCGGATCAGCTTCCCGTAAATGAACCAACGATGTGATCACCTACTGAGCTTAGGAAACACATGAGACTGTTTAGGTTTAAAACTGGGAGTAGATACACATCGATCAATGCTAGGGGCCGGCCTTTGAGAGACTGCTTAACGGCACTAAGGCCATACAACCCAAAACATTTATCTAGACCCATCCGCTACCATGTGATTCAGTTCATGTGTGAGTTTGCGCTTATTGGGTGAAGCTTCTTCAATTTGCATTTGATCTGCTATTAGGTGAATGTATTAATGCCTCGGACATCAGAGCCTTCATATAAAGATCATGCAATACTTTCAAATGCTCTCTACCCGACCAGCAGCTGCTCTGAAAAATAGTCAGGACTAGCCATAAAACATCATTTAATTGACTGGAATGAGTTATCTTGACCATCCGTTTGGGGTGTGCGATTGTTAATCCTAAATCAAGACTCCAACGGTGTGTTAATGGTGTTCCACGGAAAGATCCAGTTGACCTGGGCAATCAAAACTGCCATTAATCTTTACTTAAGCCAATCGAAAAATAAGTCGTCTGTGGCGACGGCGATAAAGATGCTTGTAACTTCACAAAGTTCCTTAAGCTCAAAAAAGATGAGGGCTCGTTGAGTCAGCTCAACGTCATTTACTAACTAAACGAACAACTTCAATAAATAATGAACCGCTTTTAATAGATGGTAATTAGATGAAATAAATCTTCAGAAAACATCAGTGGACATGCTGTTGAAAATGAGGTGCTCGGTAACAAATATGAAATCACTTACTATTAGAATTATTGTTAGAAACTATAATCATAGCCGATTTACGACAGGACGTGTTATTAT